TTAGTAAAGAGATACATTTTCCCGCCAATTACAGGAAAGATGAAATCAGGTAAGGAAGAGCCATCTGTGTGTAGAAACATTTCACAAAAAAAATATAAAAAATGAGCACAGCATTTTCCCATTTTTTTATTCATTTTCCCCAGTGGCAATGGGTTAATGAAAATCAAGAATCACTTGTTCCTCAGAGTAGATGGTGGACATGGAGATCATTAGTTTAACACGCTGCCATTCACCACTTTCAAAATTTGGTAATTCATGTTGCAAAACAGTTGATACCACATCTATATTCTATCTTTTGACTGAAAAAGATAGAACACTGATGATTCTTACATATGCACTTAACGTACTAAATCTGACACTGCATTAAATAATTAACAATTTCTTAGTCTTCAGAGAATGAGGCAAGAATTTCATTTGTGTATAGAATAATCCACAGAAAACATGAGCAGAGGTAAAAAGTCGGAATAAAATAAGGGGTGACTGTAATGGAATGTAATGCGGACTTCCATAAATAGTACAAATCAGTATCACCTAATGCTAACTCCTAGTAATATGACATCTAACAATGACAAATCAGTGCGTAAACAGCCATCAGCTATCGAAAATGTAAATAAAAACCATACTTTCTCCTGCAAACAGAATTCCTTTTTTCACATCAAGCACTTAAGAAGAGAAACAAAACACTTGGTCATAACACAAACAAACCCAAACCAAAAAACAAAACAACAAAAAACGAAACATGCACAAACATGCGCACAAACCTCTCCTTAGCAACGAATTCCTGTTTTCATCATTTACAGCATCACCAAATACTAGGGACCTTTTCTTCTTTGGTCTCACAAAGGTTCTGGTGTCTATTTCACCTGAAAAGTATACATATCAAGTTTTCTTTTAAAACACTAAAACACTAAGCAGCAGTTAGTCAGGGATAAAAGAACTGACTCTACTACTGAGGAAGATATTAGGATTAAAATAAGACAAGACAAAAAAAAAAAAAAAAAAAAAAAAAAAAAAGTCTGATGTTAATCTAATCATCTGTTGCAGGTCATAGGGCTGCACTATGCAATTCTTTTCAACAAGCCATGTTGTATGATCAAAGTGCAAGCAAAACCCTTTAAAAGCATTGTGTGAAGATTTGGCAGATGCACTACTCAAGGGGATAACTGCATATCGGAAGGTCTGTAAAGTACTGGCATAACGTACTCTTAAAAGTGCGATTCAAATTTTACGTCTTTCTAGGACTCTTATCCCAATCGAAACAAAATAATCATATTCATAATCCTATAGAACACTGTTTATTATCTTTGGTCTGAGTTATTTCATGTTAACTCTTTTAAGATAAGGAAAAAATGAACCTGTAAGTGAGGTGAAATACAGTAATGATTGATTACTTTACACTGTATTAAGGGAACCATAAGAGAGTAAGGCGAGTAAAATCATTTAATGTTAAAACTAAAATGGATATATTAATCTTGTTGGTAATATCTTTAGACAAAATCTAAAAAATAATCTTGCTGTTGGGATGAATACTAGAAAGTCATCATCGTAAACCAAAGACAAATCATGAGGAAGATCTACCTCATCTCTCATTAGCAATATTACAGGACTTTCTCTCTCCAATAATACAAATATTCTGAACAACTAACAGCTCTGAAATTGTTCTTTAACTCCAATTACCTCATAGTTATGCCATTTTTCTCTTTAGTTGAATTCCCTTTTTGGAAGTTTCTTTAAATGATGGGACAAATTGCACTCTGTACCACAAAATGAATTTATCTTCTTTGTGTTGCATATCAATATAGAATATAAACAGTCAATCCTTTATCATGAGCACTTTCCATCCCACTACACACAGACACAGACACAGACACAGACAGACACACACTTAAAAACACAGACACACACACACACAACACACACACACACACTTAAAAACACAGACACACACATAAAACTACACACAGACACAGACACAGACACAGACACAGACACAGACACAGACAGACACACACTTAAAAACACAGACACACACACACACACTTAAAAACACAGACACACACACACACACACTTAAAAACACAGACACACACACACACACTTAAAAACACAGACACACACACACACACTTAAAAACACAGACACACACATAAAACTACACACAGACACAGACACAGACACAGACACAGACAGACACACACTTAAAAACACAGACACACACACACACACACTTAAAAACACAGACACACACACACACACTTAAAAACACAGACACACACACACACATAAACACACACAGACACACACACACACACTTAAAAACACAGACACACACACACACACTTAAAAACACAGACACACACACACACACACTTAAAAACACAGACACACACACACACACACTTAAAAACACAGACACACACACACACACTTAAAAACACAGACACACACACACACACACACACACTTAAAAACACAGACACACACATAAAACTACACACAGACACAGACAGACACACACTTAAAAACACAGACACACACACACACACTTAAAAACACAGACACACACACACACATAAACACACACAGACACACACACACACACTTAAAAACACAGACACACACACACACATAAACACACACAGACACACACACACACACACATAAACACACACAGACACACACACACACACTTAAAAACACAGACACACACACACACACACATAAACACACACAGACACACACACACACACTTAAAAACACAGACACACACACACACACCACACACACACACACTTAAAAACACAGACACACACACACACACTTAAAAACACAGACACACACACACACACACATAAACACACACAGACACACACACACACACACTTAAAAACACAGACACACACACACACACTTAAAAACACAGACACACACACACACATAAACACACACAGACACACACACACACACTTAAAAACACAGACACACACACACACACATAAACACACACAGACACACACATAAAACTACACACAGACACAGACACAGATATAAACACACACACACACACACACTTAAAAACACAGACACACAGACACACACTTAAAAACACAGACACACACACACACAACACACACACACACACACTTAAAAACACAGACACACACATAAAACTACACACAGACACAGACACAGACACAGACACAGACACAGACAGACACACACTTAAAAACACAGACACACACACACACACTTAAAAACACAGACACACACACACACATAAACACACACAGACACACACACACACACTTAAAAACACAGACACACACACACACACTTAAAAACACAGACACACACACACACACACATAAACACACACAGACACACACACACACACACACTTAAAAACACAGACACACACACACACACACTTAAAAACACAGACACACACACACACACACACACACTTAAAAACACAGACACACACATAAAACTACACACAGACACAGACACAGACACAGACACAGACACAGACACAGACACAGACACAGATATAAACACACACACACACACACTTAAAAACACACACACACACACACACTTAAAAACACAGACACACAGACACAGACACAGACACAGACAGACACACACTTAAAAACACAGACACACACACACACACACATAAACACACACAAAGACACACACACACACACAAAGACACAGACACAAACACACACAGACACATATAGATATAAACTAATATACATGTATAAATCTTCCACTAGTTTCCACTAAAGAAACCTTTGAGCTCAAGACTACCAGTACAACAAGTAGGACATCTACTGCATGACTACTTTATAAAAAAAGGGACTCCAGACTCTTTTTATCTTTCACCTGCAGCCCTACAGATAAGGAACATTTAAACTAAGATGCTGGAGGAGGCTCCCCCCATCGGATAATCTAACCAAAGGTACCGATGCTCTACCAATGTGAGACGGCATGCAACCGCAAGGTCATCACTCCTGCGAAAACCGGCATACAAACAAGAACGCGCAAAAAGGGGTCTTTGTCCTTACCTCGAGAGGAGGGGGGGGAGTCGGGGGACAAGACTCCCGACGACGAACAAGGGCTGAACGAGTGCCGGGGGGAGTGGTGGGGGGACACTGCAAGGATAAAATGAGTTAGGAAATAATGCAGAGTGAGATGATGATAAACTGAGGGATAAGGGGCGGAAGGGGGAGGTAGAGGGAACAGAAGAAACAGGGAAAGAAGTGATGAGAAAAGGAAAGAAGAAGAAAGAGAAAGGTGTGGGGCAAGACTTAAAAAAAAGGGTGAATAGATACAAGAAAAACAGAGGAAAGGAGGAAGAAGAAGAAGAAGAAGAAAAAGAAGAAGAAGAAGAAGTGGAAGAAGAAGAAGAAAAATAAACATAGAAGAGAGAAGGAATGCAAAGAAGGAGACTAAAGGAGGACAAAGAGGACTGAAAGAGAAAGGAAAACAAAGAAAAGAGAGACATCATGGATATATTTGGAAAACAAGGAAGAGACTAAAGAAGAACAAAGAGGACAGAAAGAGAAAGAAAAACAAAGAAAAGACAGACATCATGGATATATTTGCATATGGCCATCTTTCATGCTACTAGACAATAACATCAGTTTATCTACCCAAGAGCCAGTATTAATAAACTTTGCTATAATCTATTTTTACTGCAATCTGTTCCTTCTTATGATCACACTTATACCATTTACAAGAAACAGTTAATATATGACTAAAGCAATAAGTCCCTGTTTATATGAGGAATGAGTGTACAGTGTAATACATATATTATTATTCTCTCATACAATCGTAGTTAACACCACCATCTGAAGTATTAAAGATACTTACATGCAATCTGATCTAATTTCTGAATTAACGACTTTTTGACAACACAAAGGGCTGGGTCATCCACATCTTTTCGTAACCAATCTGTGTCATGGGGTTTCGTTTTTGGGGAATCAAATAACCTGAAAAAAGATGAAGGAAGTCATTAACATGATCAATTCATTCTGAGCGACTGTAGGTAATGGACAAAGACTGTTAGTAAGATAGGAAAGTTATAAAACTCATGCATATTAAACACACATTGTGGTTGCAAATGCAGTGACAGAGCTGTGAAGGTAACACCACATTAAATTAAAATGAAACTGGATCATCAAAATATACCAACACAGAAAAAAGACAAGGTTGTATATCAATGAAAACATTCATGAGACCTCTTTTGAAAATATCACAGTTCAGTGCTTAGTTATTGGCGAGGCATACAGCTATTTCCCAGCTAAGCTCTAAGTCTTAGCATGGCTTTTCTGAGCAACATCCTCAGCCCTTGCAAAAAGTCAGGTCCCTCAAACAGATTATCAATGTCGAGTCATCTCTGTTAAGTGGGTCACTTTATTCCTTGTCATATTTGTCTGTCTCTCTTGTCTGTCAGTTTTAATCTACCTGTCTGTCTGCTGTATAAAAATACATATACATTCACATACACATTTAATATAAAGAGATAGCTATTACAACATTTTCATAAATCTATATGTCTATGATGAATATATACATAAGCACCAGGGGGATCTATGGTGTACCAGATTAGTGAAAATGCTGAATCACTTAGAGATCACCTCTAAACGACACCTAAGCACTTAATCTTACCTAAAGATTACCCTGCATATCAGTAAAGTTGGATCACAAAGGAATATGAACACTAAGGTGAAAATCTAGTATTCCTTGTCATAATCAATTTACCTGTCTGTTCTGTCTGTTTGTAAAATATACATATACATTCATGAAAGCATATTCATGATGAATCTTTCATACACATATATATATCTATGAATATATACATATACACTATGGGGATCCGTCGCGTACCAGATTAGTGAAAATGCTGAATCATTGAAAAATTATCTCTAACTAACACCTAAGCCCTTTATCTTACCTAAAATAGATAGATAGATAGATAGATAGATAGATAGATAGATAGATAGATAGATAGATAGATAGATAGATAGATAGATAGATAGATAGATAGATAGATAGATAGATAGATAGATAGATAGATAGATAGATAGATAGATAGATAGATAGATAGATAGATAGATAGATAGATAGATAGATAGATAGATAGATAGATAGATAGATAGATAGATAGATAGATAGATAGATAGATAGATAGATAGATAGATAGATAGATAGATAGATAGATAGATAGATAGATAGATAGATAGATAGATAGATAGATAGATAGATAGATAGATAGATAGATAGATAGATAGATAGATAGATAGATAGATAGATAGATAGATAGATAGATAGATAGATAGATAGATAGATAGATAGATAGATAGATAGATAGATAGATAGATAGATAGATAGATAGATAGATAGATAGATAGATAGATAGATAGATAGATAGATAGATAGATAGATAGATAGATAGATAGATAGATAGATAGATAGATAGATAGATAGATAGATAGATAGATAGATAGATAGATAGATAGATAGATAGATAGATAGATAGATAGATAGATAGATAGATAGATAGATAGATAGATAGATAGATAGATAGATAGATAGATAGATAGATAGATAGATAGATAGATAGATAGATAGATAGATAGATAGATAGATAGATAGATAGATAGATAGATAGATAGATAGATAGATAGATAGATAGATAGATAGATAGATAGATAGATAGATAGATAGATAGATAGATAGATAGATAGATAGATAGATAGATAGATAGATAGATAGATAGATAGATAGATAGATAGATAGATAGATAGATAGATAGATAGATAGATAGATAGATAGATAGATAGATAGATAGATAGATAGATAGATAGATAGATAGATAGATAGATAGATAGATAGATAGATAGATAGATAGATAGATAGATAGATAGATAGATAGATAGATAGATAGATAGATAGATAGATAGATAGATAGATAGATAGATAGATAGATAGATAGATAGATAGATAGATAGATAGATAGATAGATAGATAGATAGATAGATAGATAGATAGATAGATAGATAGATAGATAGATAGATAGATAGATAGATAGATAGATAGATAGATAGATAGATAGATAGATAGATAGATAGATAGATAGATAGATAGATAGATAGATAGATAGATAGATAGATAGATAGATAGATAGATAGATAGATAGATAGATAGATAGATAGATAGATAGATAGATAGATAGATAGATAGATAGATAGATAGATAGATAGATAGATAGATAGATAGATAGATAGATAGATAGATAGATAGATAGATAGATAGATAGATAGATAGATAGATAGATAGATAGATAGATAGATAGATAGATAGATAGATAGATAGATAGATAGATAGATAGATAGATAGATAGATAGATAGATAGATAGATAGATAGATAGATAGATAGATAGATAGATAGATAGATAGATAGATAGATAGATAGATAGATAGATAGAT